TCTTCATATGTTTTAGCCTTCAGTCCCCTAATGATACATACTGTAGATGAGATGGATAGATTGATCCATCTTAGACTGATAAGATAGATTGATTTGGAAGTGAGGTTACTTTCACTGAATGGCACTGAAATTTAACTTGGATTAGTGCATTAGTGAACAATGGAACAGATCTTGCGAATCTTACTGGCCCTTTTCTGATCTTCATTTTTCTTGTTCAGGATTGTCTTGTGTCCTATGAGGAAGTGGCTGTGTATTTCTCTGAGGAGGAGTGGTTTCAGTTGGATCCTAACCAAAAGGCACTGCATTCGGAAGTCATGCTGGAAAATCATAGGAACGTGGCCTCTGTGGGTAAGGATTGCTTGCTACTGCCCAGAATGGGAACACATTGTATAGTAGCCATCAGCTATTTTTTATTAAAACATCCCTAACCAGACATCATCTCCTGGGAGGAAGAAGGAAAAGATCTGACTTTCTCCTCCTTTGCGGAAGGAAAGAAGAGAATGCCTCTTTGTTAGATACATCCTGTGCCATTTATATTTTTCCTTTTCTATTTCAGCCCATCTGTGAAATAGGAAAGACTGTCATTGCTTCAGGCTTTTGAGTTAATGCCTTTTCTTCCTTTTTGTTTCTATTCTGAGCATTGGGATCAGTGATGGTGAACCTGTGATACATATTTCAAAGGTGACATGCAACAACATTTTGGGGGAGACACCAAAACCCAACAAGTGTTCTCCAAACTTCCAATTCTCGCACAAGTTTCGGAGGCTGAGAAGAATGGAATATATATTCTCCTGCGGCCTATGGAAGTCACATGTCAGAACCACGTTCTCACATGGCCTCTAATGACTCCAAAAATTGCATGAGATCAAGACGTTCTTTCACATAGTTTTCAAAGGCTGCAGGGCCTGTGTGAGAGCATTCCCTGATACCGCTTCAAGAACAAAGGCCTTGTGTGATCTAGAGCAGCCTCAGGCATGTCAACAGAAAGGGAATGTTACCTGAAGATAAGAGGAGAGTGCGGTAGATCCTTGGGAGTGCTTAACTATGGGTCAATTGCATGATTCCCCAAGGCTTGCATACTCAGCTTTTTTGAGTGGAAACAGTGGCACTAGGGCTGCAGTTGAAGTAGAGGCCTCTATTTTCAGCCCAACCATGGTGCTGCTGTGGAATACCACTGTTCAGGGTGTCTTAAATATGGAAGAGATTGTTTCTGTTTTGATCAGGGGTGGGTTGTGTGACATCTATTTATTTATTTATTTTTAAATTTATATACCGCCCTTCTCCCAAAGGACTCAGGGCGGTGAACAGCCAAAGGTAAAAACACAAAATACAAAATTTAAAAGCAATTTAAAATAAATTAAATAATTTGGCCCAACAGTTTAAATACCCCATTAAAATTCAGATTAAAATTAAACAATTTAAAAAATTTAAAAAATTAGGCCAGCCCAGCTTGGTGAAATAAGAAAGTCTTTAGGGCCCGGCGAAAAGTTCGTAAGTCCGGGATCGTCCGTATCTCCGGGGGGAGCTCGTTTCAGAGGGCAGGTGTTCCCACCTGCTGGACATACCAGCAGAGTACAAATAGACATTTCCTGAAATTTCTGAAATTTCATACACTGAGCACAAACTTTTTACCATCACTGGGTAAATGACAGTAAATGGTAAACTGTTTTTTCTTTGCAAACATGCTGTTGAGACTTAATAGCAGAACTCTTTCTTCTTTGCAATAATCTAATTTTAACATGAGAAAATGAATCATAAAGGGAAGTTAGTTTGGGTGGGTCTTGTTTCAAAATTGATTTATTTCTCAGTCTCTGCTAGAATTGACTGTCCAACAAATTATAGGTTTCCTCCTAATAACTCCTTGGATGTTTCCCCTGATTTTTCCTTAACTCAAACTAGGATGAGATTTCAATATGAACAGACAATTGTCAACAAAAAGTGTTAGATCTTTTCAAAGCTTTTATGTCTAATGGATACAGATTTTATTGTTTCTCTACTATGCCGTTATAAACATGTAAACGTGCAATATATTGAAATTTGGCAAAAATTCAGAAATAAATTAATATGACATCCTACATTTGGAACTTTTTGCCTAAACTTGCCATCATTTTTGTTTTTCCTTTTCCTTTGAAGGTAATAATGGGCAGGAGAATAAAGATTCCTGTGAACTGTTCCATGTGATCAATTTTGGAGATGGGCAGGAGAAGTCTTCTATTCGAATAGAACAAGAGAGCCATGAGAGAAACCAGCTAAATAATTGGAATCTGGCAAGCTCATCTTCCATTGATATTCAGATGCAAGACTTTTTTCTCCAACAAGGGAAAATGAAGAAAAAATATATTGAGAAATCTTTGAAGATAATCAAAGATAAATTAGATGTAAATGAAGGAAAAGATAACATATGCAGAGACAGTGGGGAAAAATGGACTCTTAGTCTTTCTCATAGAAATAGGTCCCTTATATCTCAAAAAGGAAACCACCCAGAAGAGAAACCTTATAAATGTTTGAAATGTGGAAAGAGCTTCAGAAGAAGCAGTCAACTTACTTTCCATAATCAGATCCACACAGGAGAGAAGCCATATAAATGTAAAATGTGTGAAAAGACTTATTCTCATAGCTATCATCATACACTTCATAAACAGGTCCACACAGGGGAAAAACCCTACAGATGCATGGAATGTGGAACGGACTTTAATTCAATGTATGAGCTTACTGCCCATAACAGTATCCATACAGGGGAGAAACCATATAAATGCATGGAGTGTGGAAAGACCTTTGCTCAAAGCAATCATCATACAATTCATAAACGGATCCACACAGGGGAAAAACCCTACAGATGCATGGAGTGTGAAAGGGACTTTAAGTCAAAGTATGAGCTTACTGCTCATAACAGGGTTCACACAGGGGAGAAGCCATATAAATGCATGGAGTGTGGAAAGACCTTTGCTCACAGCAGTTCTATTATAATTCATAAACGGGTCCACACAGGGGAAAAACCCTATAAATGCATGGAATGTGGTAGGTGCTTTATATCACAGGGTGGACTTACTGGCCATATCAGAATCCACACAGGGGAGAAGCCATATAAATGCATGGTGTGTGGAAAGAGCTTTGCTCGGAGCGGTCAACTTAGTTCACATAACAAGATCCACACAGGGGAAAAGCCATATAAATGCATGGAATGTGGAAGGGATTTTAGATGGAGTAATGTTTTTACTTTGCATAAAAGAATGCATGCAGGGGAGAAACCACAGAAGTGCACTGAGTGAGGAGTTGCTTGGATTCACATGGGCAAAACCATATAATTAACCAAGTTAAAGAATCTGAAAGAGTACAGTGAATTTTGCTAATATAAATGATTATAAAGAATAATATGTGCAAATAGAAACATATTTTCCACATCAAAAGAAAAGAAGTACAGATAGTTAAATTGATTCCTTTGTTCAGATAAATTAATATATGATATCTAATTTTGTTTTTATTAGGAGACTGCTTCTGGCTTTTATGCTTGTGATGGAAAAATGAAATTTTACTTTGTGCTGATTAGATAGATCTGTTATTACAGAAATGGCTAGTATGTATTATTGTATAAAAGAGAAAAGTTCAGGTTGTAATATTATTTTCTACTGTGCTAAAGAGAGTTGGAAGTCAACATGTATTTTTCTTGTTCCCTTTCTACCCCAAGCACTTTTTCCAACTTCCCCTCCTTGGTTCCAATTTTTATTTTCCTTTGTATTTTATATTCTGATCAACTAATAAAAATTTTTGAATTTCAAAAAAGAACTGAGTTTTGAAAATCTGAAACCAGAAATAAGGTTGGGTCAATTAGAAATAAGGTTGGGACAATCACACCAGGGATGTGGAGGAGAGTGTTTTTATGGTATTAAAAACAACATATACTTACATCAAACTGAACAGCAAAAGGCAGACAATAAAAAGACTCCATAAAACAAGAGGGTAACAAGACACCTTTTTAGGGGACACAACAGCCTCCCTGTCCCTGGACCTCCTGCAAAAACACTCCCATTCTCTTGCATTGGCAACTGCATTGCACACAACATCCACCAGGAGGCGCTTTTGGCCAAGGCACAGGAATATCAGATGCTTCTGGTTGCCTTAAATTCTATAGAGGCCTTTAGTTTTCTACTCAGGTGAGGTAAATTCTCAACCCTTAAGTAGATTTTTGTTAATTTTCCCCCTCACAAACTTGATATTTATATTCCTTTGTTACTATTTGACTTCATTTAGCAGTTCCAGTTTTTCTCCAGGTCACAGATGAGACACCATTTCCTTCTCTTCATTTCTCCACCAAGGAGCCTCCTTGTGAGGTAAAATTTCTCCAAAAATCACCAATTTGAGTTTTTTCTTTAATTTGGAACTGGTTTTCCTTCGGTATTTCTTTTTCTTCAGTATTATTTCCTTTGTCAGAAGCTGACAATTTTCAATTATTCTTAGGCACCTAGAGCTGAGAATTGGAAAAGGGCAGCTCTGCATATTGAACTAAAGAAATAAAAATCTATAGAAATCTCCATTTTCCTGACAGGAAAATTTTCCCTCCCTCAGGAGTCGCCGCTGCTTTTCTCTGACAGACAACCAATGAGAAGTCTCTTTACTCTGCTACTCTGATGCCCATCATCCCTGCCCTCCCCCTCCCCTCAAGCACCGCTCCTCCTTCCCGCCCTTTGCAGTGTCCCTGTCACATTGCGCAGAATCCACCAGGGGGCGCTCTCTGCAAAAGGAAGGTAATGAAAGGCGCTTCCCCATTGGTCCACTGGAGGGCGAACGTCACAGTTGACTTTCCAGAGGAGGCGTGAGATCACAAACGCTGGCCGCTCTAGGACGTCGCACTCTCTCCCTTTAACCCCTGGAGCTCCCATAGGAGGCGGAGAGGCTGCAGGAGAGTCGGGCGGGGGGGGTGGGTGGCAGATCCAGACGTACCCTGGGTGAGTTGGGGGCTCTTCCCGTGCAAAGGGAGGCGGAGGAGGGAGAGTCTCAGTAGAAGAAGAGAGAAGCCGGGCGAGGAGGAAGCAAGATTCGCACTAGGGGCCGGAGTCAGGCATGTCTCCGGAGGGGGAGAGAAGCCGGCCGGCCTCTCCCAGCTGCCTCCTTCCCAACCTCGGTCCTGCGCTTGGATGACCCGGTTGGGTTCCAGGCAGGTTGGGTGAACCTACCTGCGTGTCAGTTCTCCAAAGGCCACCTTGAAGAAGGGAAAGGGAGCATCCACCGCCAGGGTCATTTCCTGGCGTTTGATTGGATGGGAACTTATCTTTCATGGTTTGTTCACCTGCTTGATGCTTGGCAGGTTATATGAATACTCCTTGGAGGCAGGGTTGAAATCCAGCAGGTTCTGACAGGTTCTGGAAAACCGGTAGCAGAAATTTTGAGTAGTTCGGAGAACCGGTAGCAGAAATGTTGAGTAGTTCGGAGAATCGGCAAATATCACCTCTGGCTGGCCCCAGAGTGGGGTGGGAATGGAGATTTTGCAATATCCTTCCCCCAGGAGTGGGGAGGGAATGGGGATTTTGCAGTATCCTTCCCCTGCCACGCCCACCAAGCCACACCATGCTCACCAAGCCATGCCCACAGAACCTGTAGTAAAAAAAATTGGATTTCACCACTGCTTGGAAGTAAATGTAGATCTAGGTTTTAAAAATAAAGCCCATCCTTGTAAGTAAAAATAGAAAATATTCTAAAACACACACTATTCATCTCCTCAAAGCAACTTCAACCCCTATACCAGCTCTGAAAAATACTTCCTTCCATGGGACGAGTGTCGTTCAGTGGTTACATCCATATTTTCTAATTCTTGAAATTTATTTTCTTTTCCATCTCAGATATACAAAGTGGAAGCCATTTGTACGTCTTCACATACAGCCAAGATATCTCAGGTAAAGTGGAGTGAATGGCTTGCTGACGTCCCTCTTGTGCTAATGGAAACCATCCTCTGAATGAAAAGGGATTTCAAGATCTAAAACGTTCCTTGGAGTTACTCTAGAGACAGAGACAGAGACAGGATGGAAACACAACTTTTAGCAAGTGAGACAACTGAAAAAGAACCTTCTGCTGTTCAGGATGGAAGCTGTGGGGACATCTGGGAAAGAACTGGACAGAAGATCCTGGAGGAGGAAACCATCCATTCAGAAGTTCAGCCCTGGAACTTCAGGAGTGTCCAATACCAGGAGGCTGAGTGTCCCCGAGGACTCTGTAGCCGAATCCACAACTTCTGTAGGCAATGGCTGAGACCAGAAAAGCACACCAAAGTGCAGATGCTGGACCTTGTGGTTCTGGAGCAGTTCCTGGCCGTTCTGCCCCCAGAGATGGAGGGCTGGGTGCGGGAGTGTGGAGCAGAGACCATCTCCCAGGCAGTGGCGCTGGCTGAAGGCTTCCTCCTGAGCCAGGCGGAGGAGCAGAAGGAACAGGTCAAATTGCAGGTATGAAATCTTCATCTAGGGAGCCCAGAAGTGTTTTGAAAGGAATAAATGTATTTGAATTTTTCATTCCCCCCTTCCTGATTTCTCTGTCATTCATATTATGTGGTGATGTCACACCAATTCTTGTAGGACGTTGTACTGTTATTCATTGTAGATTTGAGACAACCTTTCCTTTCTTTACTGAATGTCATTGATGGATTTTGTGGGCTATGAAATTGTTTTCAGAGAACAAGAATGATATTGTGTGATGTCCATTAATTATGGCTCCTCCCCCCCCCCCCCCGCCTGTATTTCAAGTCCTTCTTTGTGGAGATCAGGGATCCTGAGGGAAGGAAGAATCCAACACATCCCCCTCTGGAACTGTTTTTCCGGAGGTTCTCTCAGGAAGATCCAAGTCAGGACACAGGAGGTAATTAAAAGTTGTCCCATTCCTCAGAGAAAGCCCAACTATGTCATCTCCATGTGTTCTCTTTTGTACAATACCTCCTCCTAACTTGTTATGTGTTTTATACTTCTGTATCACTGACAGATCTTCATGGTGGAGCTGAAAGAATGATTGAACCTCCAAATCAAGTAAGTGGAGGACATTAATTTATTAGATTTGTATTCTCTCTTTCCTTCAGGAAGACCACTCTCTACTTCCATTTTCTTTCTTGTTTGGGTTGATTTATTTTCGTGTTCCTGAGCAATGTGGAAAAAAGAATAGCATGTTCAAATTGCTTTCAGCCAGTTTAGCTTTCTCTGAAGACAGCTGTTGGGACACAGTGGTGTGCTTAGTAATTTCTAATCTCGGATTTGTACCTGATTTGGATATGTAGGCCAAACTATGTATCTTTGCAAACACTGAGAATTGCCCTTCCTGGGGAATTTAGTTTAGTTGAAGATTTTTCCTACCCTTCACCACCCATATCCCAGAGAAATGCTGTGGGCTGCATATGACAGTGATGGCTAACCTTTTTGCCATCGCGTGCCAGGAGAGGGGGGGCGGGGAGGGTCGCGTGCGCATGTGCCCATGCGCATGCGTGCGCAACCCCTCCCCTCCCCCCCTGCTCCTGGCACATGATGGCCTGGTAGGCCCGTTTTTCTTTCTTACCTGGTTCCAGATCCTCTCTGTGTATCTGGGAAGGGCGAAAACAGCCTTTCCCACTCCCACGGAGGCCCTACGGAGGCTGAAAGGGCCCATTTCCCAACTCTCAGTGGGACAGGAAGTGACATTTTTTGCTGTCCCCAGCCTCCAGAACCTCTCTAGGAGCCTCTCTAGGACTGGGGGTTTTCTTCACCTTCCTTACCCAGCAGTTACATGTACATATTAAAATGGAGCAGGGAGGGCACCAAGCCCTGAAGCAACCCACAAAGGAGGGACCATAATCTCTTGCTACCAATTAACACTGATTGGAACCAACATTGGAGGAAGGAGATGAATCAGCGCAAAACTCTGCTGCCCATCCTTAGCTCCCTAAATTGGCCCAATAGCATGCCATAGTCAATGGTATTGAAAGGTGTTGAGAGGTCACAAAAAGCAAGGATGGATGCACCACCTCCATTTCTCACTAGAGATCATTCATGAGTACAACCAATGTAGTTTAAGTCACTAGACAAGAATTGTCCATCATGATAGGGTCCAATGATGGCTTCTTGAGTAGGGAAAACAGCAGCACATCTTTAAAGGGAGCCGGAAACACCCATCCAACAAGGATGAATCCATCAGGGGTTAAACTGACTCACATACCACCTCCTGTGGGACCTGTTACCAGCCAATAGGGCATGGATCTAATAAGATAATGGTGTTTCCATTTTACAGGACCCTATCCACTTCCTCAGGTCCAACAGAATCAAACCATTCCCAGATAACTAGGCGAGTCTGTTCCCTGGGCATCTGCATAGGACCATGATGGCGAACCGGAAGTTGGCAAACAGGCCGTTTCTGGCCTCTGGAGGGCCTCCAGGGGTGGGTGGGGAAGGCCGTTTTCACCCTCCCAGACTCTTAGAAAGGCTCTGGAGCCTGGTGAGAGAGAAAAACAGGCCTACCAGGCCATTGTGTGCCAGGAGTGGGGGTCTCGGGGGGGGGGTCATGCTAGCATGCACAGAGGCAGGGCATATAGAATTCTGGGTATGAGCATGTGCGCACATGACCCCCCCCTCCGCTCCTGGCACACGATGGCAAAAAGGTTAGTCATCATTGGCATAGGATTTGCACCATGTTTGCAATCCAACTGTGAGCGAATGAGCGAACTCTGAACAAAGAGATGATAGGGAAACAGATAAAAGATATATGATAGGTCAATCAATATACAGTGAGTTAGTATTACTGAATGGCACTGAAAATCCTGAAGTTGATAAACATGGCTAAAATATTTCTTCAGGCAAAGGTTTTTGGCTTCATACCTTTTCTCAGCTAAACCTCGGAATCCTACCAAGCAAAGCCATGTAACTTAGCACATATCGTTGGTTTGGGAATTTGTGAACAATGGAGAAGATCTTGCAAATCGTTCTGGTCTCGTTGTTCTTTTTTCCCATATTCAGGAAGGCCCCGTGTCCTTCAAGGAGGTGTCTGTGTATTTCTCTGAGGAGGAATGGTCTCAGCTGGATCCTGACCAAAAAGCGCTGTATTGGGAAGTTATGCTGGAAAATCATAGGAACGTGGCCTCTCTGGGTAAGAGTTTGCTACCTTGCAGTCAGATTGTTTAGGAAGTCACAATGTATTTAGATGCCATCAGCTGCACTGCGGGTGAAGCATAGTGTTCCCCAAGACTTGTGCACTTTGTGGAAAGGTGCAAGGCAGGCTTTTTGAGTGGAAGCGCTGGTTCTAGGGCTCAAATTGAAGAGGAAGCTCCTACTTGAAGCCCAGGATTGGCTCTACTGCTGAGGGTTACTCTTCAGGGTGGACTTAACGGTGGAGAGATAAATAATTGTTTCTCATCTTTATGTGTGTAACGCCAACAGAGTCAATGTTGTTTTGACCTACTGAGCCCGAATGTTTCACCATCACTGGCTAAATGGTACCATTTTCCAATTGCAAACATGTTGTTGAGGCTTAATAGAAGAACTTTTGTTTTTCCCCCCTGCAATCGTACAATTTTGACAGGAGAAAATGATAGTAAAGGGAAGATAATTTGGGAAGAAACAGACATGTTTCAAAAATAAATTTAGTTGTCACAGGTCTCTCTTGGAATTGGCACCCTCCAGTAAATGTTCATTTTTCTCCTAATTTATCCTTGAAAGTTTCCTCTGATTCTTCCCCAAATCAAAGCTGACTCTGAGTGAGATGTGAATAGATCAGAATAATTCTAAATAAAAAGGATGTTTGCAATAGTGGTGATTAGTGGCAAAACAGGATGTTAGCTCATAAATATAGGAATTAGCATTTCCAGATCAGCTGTTGTACCAGTGCCAAGATATATTGGAATTGGGCCAAAATTCAAAACGAGATTTTTTAGGACTTCCTACAATTTAATATTCTCACTAACCTTGCTACTACTTTTATTTCTTTTTTTTTAAGGTAATGATGGGCAGGAGAATAAAGATTCCTATGAACTATTACAAGGGATAACTGCTGGAGACAGAATGGAGACGTCTGCAATTGGAATGGAAATAGAAAGATATGAGAAAAACCAGTCTGACAATTGGAATCAGGAAAGTTCATCTTCCATTGATGCTCCAGTGCAAGACGTTGTGATCCAACACAGGAAAGTTAAAGAATATATTGTAAAAGGTGTGAAGCAAAGCAAAGACAAATTACATGCAAATGGATGGTATCCAGCCCAAATTAACGGAGAAGTTAACATATTCAGAGACAATGGAAAAGATTACAACTGGACATTTACTCTGTCTCATGGATATAGGTCACTTACATCCCAGAATAAGATTTACACAGAAGAGAAGCAATCTAAAAATTGGGAATGTGGAAAGAGATTCCAAAAGAGTAGTCAACTTACTTCCCATAACTGGATCCACACAGGGGAGAAGCCATATAAATGCAGAGAATGTGGCAAATGCTTCAGGAGATGCAGATATCTTACATCTCATAAAAGGATCCACTCAGGGGTGAAGCACTATCAATGCAAGGATTGTGGGAAGACTTTTATATATCATAGTCAACTGGCTTCCCATAAAATAATCCACACAAAGGAGAAGCCATATGAATGCAGAGAGTGCGGTATGAACTTCAAGAAAAGCAGTTATGTTACTTCCCATAAAAGAATCCACACAGGGGAAAAACCTTATCAATGCATGGAGTGTGGAAAGAGCTTTAGGTCAAGTCATCAACGTACTTCGCATAACTGGATCCATACTGGTCAGAAGCCATATAAATGCATGGAATGTGGAAAGACCTTTGCTTGGAACAGTTCTCTTACTTTACATAAAAGGATCCACACAGGGGAGAAGCCATATAAATGCATGGAGTGTGGAAAGACTTTTGCTCGGAACAATCAACTAACTCTGCATAAGATGAACCACACAGGGGAGAAACCATATAAATGCATGGAGTGTGGAAAAGGCTTTAAGTCAAACGGTGATCTTACTTTCCATAACAAGATCCACTCAGGGGACACACCATATAAATGCACCGACTGTGGAAAGGGTTTCTGTGAAAATGCATCGCTTATAAAACATAAAAGGATCCACACAGGGGAAAAGCCGTATAAATGCATGGTGTGTGGAAAGACCTTTGCTCAGAGGAGTTATCTATTTTCCCATAATAAGAGACATAGACAGGAGAAATCATATAAGTGCATGGAATGTGGAAAATGCTTTATGTCAAATGGTGGTCTTCAGACCCATAAAAGGATCCACACAAGGGAGAAACCGCATCGATGCATTGAATGTGGAAGGGTCTTTACATCACATAGTCATTTTAAGATCCATAAAATGACCCACACAGGGGAGAAACCATATAAATGTGTGGAATGTGGAAGGGGCTTCATGTCACAAAAGTCTCTTAGTACCCATGAAAGAATCCACCTAGAGGCGAAGCCATATAAATGCATGGAGTGTGAAAAGACTTTTGCTCAGAGAAGTACTCTTACTTTCCATAAGAGGATCCATTCAGGGGAGAAACCTTATAAATGCATGGAGTGTGGAAAGAGCTTTGCTCAGAGGAATCAACTTACTTGCCATAACAGGATTCACACAGGAGAGAAACCATATAAATGCATAGACTGTGGAAAGAACTTTGCTCAGAGAAGCACTCTTACTTTCCATAGCAGGATCCACACAGGGGAGAAACCATTTAAGTGCATGGAGTGTGGAAAGAGCTTTGCTCAGAGGAGTCAACTTACTTGCCATAACAGGATCCACACAGGAGAGAAACCATATAAATGTATAGTGTGTGGAAAGAACTTTGCTCGGAGCCATCAACTTAGTCGCCATAACAGAATCCACACAGTGGAAAAACCGTACAAATGCATGGCATGTTGAAAAGGCTTTACTGCAAATGATGATCTTACTTTCCACACGATCTTCAAATTCCAAAGTGGCTGAATGTTGATCACATTGTTCTAGAAAGTCATAATTTTCAGATGCAGTTGAAATTTTATTTTGGGGGAAGTGCCTTTAATTTGAACAGATATTAAATAAATGTTTTTAATTGAGCAGAACCTATACTTCAGAAAACTGCCAGTTGTTCTTGACCAAACACATAGAAAGAATGGAAGTTGCCTCTGGAATGTGTGTGTATGTGTGTGTGTACACATATATACACACATACATATGTACTGTGCATTCAGAAAGTATTCAGATCCCCTTCACTTTTGTCAATTTTGTTATGCTGCAGCCTGATGTTGTAATTCATTTTTTTCCTCATTAATCTACACTCAGTGTATATTACACTTTCTGAAAGCACTGTGTATGTGTGTAATAAAATCAGACTTGCAGAAGTTGCAATCTTATTTAGTCAAAGGCCTCATTACTCATTAATCATCACTTACGAAGTCGAGGTAAAAGAAAGGCACACTTTATACACAATGGAACAATCATTGCTAATATCCATTTTTCCCCTACACCAGTTTTTTCAATGGAATGGGACAACTCACCGCAGCCAACTCACTGCAGGAAAACTTGCCATGGGACAATTCAACAATTACTTTTATCTTTTGGACTATGCTCTCTACATGGGGCTCCCCTTGAGGTGCACTCGGAGGCTCCAACTGGCGCAGAGTGCAGCTGCGCGGGTGGTTATGGGAGCGACGTGGAGTTCCCATGTAACACCTCTCCTGCGCGAGCTGCACTGGCTCCCGGTGGTCTTCCGGGTGCACTTCAAGGTTTTGGTTATCACCTTTAAAGCGCTCCATGGCTTAGGACCTGGTTATCTACGGGACCGCCTGCTACCACCAATAGTCTCTCACTGGCCAGTACGCTCCCATAGAGAGGGGCTCCTCCAGGTGCCGTCGGCCAAACAATGTCGACTGGCGGCCCCTAGGGGGACAGCCTTCTCTGTGGGGGCACCTACGATCTGGAACGAGCTCCCCCCGGAGATACGGAGGATCCCGGATCTGCGCACCTTCCATCACGCGCTCAAGACTTTCTTATTTCATCAAGCTGGCCTGGCCTAAATCTTCTCCCCTTTTAAATGTAAATTTTAATTTGTTTTTAAATTATTGGGTATTTTAAATTTGTCTCAGCCAAATTATTTGTTTTTATTCTATTTTAAATTTTTGTATTTATGTGTTTCGTTCTGTGGCTGTTCACCGCCCTGAGTCCTTCGGGAGTAGGGCGGTATAGAAATCCAATAAAATAAAATAAATAAAAAATAAGATGCACCGGAGTATAAGACGCACCAAGATTTCAAAGAGGTAAACAAGAAAAAAAAAGTTTTTACCTTCCCCGGCCCCCAGGAACACTCTGCAGGCCTCCCAACCCTCTGCGCGTCCTGTTTTTGCAAAAAAAAAAGTTGCACAGAGGGTTTGGGAGGCCTGCAGAGTGCTCCTGAGAGCTGGGGAGGGCAAAAATGCAATGCCTGGTGGGTTTGGGAGGCCAAAAACAGGCCCATTTTTCACAACAAAGAGGCCTGCAGAAGATTTGAGAGGCCTGCAGAGTGCTTCCTGGGGGCTGGGAAGGCCAAAAACACTCCTGTTTTTGCGAAAACTGGCCCACTTTTGATCTCCCAACCCCCCCACATGTTGCATTTTTGCCCTCCCCAGCCCCCAGGAGCACTCTGCAGGCCTCCCAAACCCTCTGCAGCCCCCATTTTTGGCAAAAATGGGACGTGCGGGGCGGGGTTTCAGGAGGTCACTGTATTTGGTGTATAAGACACACAAACATTTCCACCCTCTTTGGGGGGGGAGTGCATCTTATACTCCAAAAAATACGGTAAATTATTTAAAAGAATTAAAAGGTAATTTTTGTCATTCACATTTCAATTTGTCCCTTTAGCATCCTTTCTTTATTAATTCTATTTCACAATTTCTTTGATTTTAATATAACTCTTGTCCCTGAGCAAGTTCTGTGGCAAGTTTCAATATTTGTAATTTCAAGTAGTATTCTTGAGTTTACAGTCAGTGGAGAATCAGCAGCAGTGGTATCAAGCCAAAGATTCTCAATCTCATCATTTTGCCCTCTGCACAGGTAGAGACACTCAGGGAAATCTTGAGTGCAAACTCAGGAGATTGGATGCAATGAGTAGACGACTTCCAAAACAAGGAACAAATCTTAGGGATAGGGATAGGATAGTTAGAAATATAGAAATAGAAAAGAAGAGAAATAGAATAGAAATAGAAGAAAGAAGTAGAATAACTTTATTGTCACTTTAAATGTACACTAATCAGCATACATTAAAATGAAATGTTGTTGTGTCCAGCTCTCAAAGGATAACCCACATAAACCCACATACATAAACATCACAGTCTAATTCGAACATATACATCTACATGGCAAAAAAAGAATCCTGCGAATTTACAAGATGGATGGCATAAAGAACAAAGCTCTTACAGAATCTAGTGGTCCTGCTACAGATACTTTGAAAGCTCCACCCAGAGGGGAGCAACAGAAACAAACCTGAAGTGGATGTGTGCAGTCTCTAAGCACACAGCTCTCTAACAATGCTTCGAGCTCTAAGCACAGAGGCCTTTAGTTTCCTACTCATGTTTCCCTATGAGGTAACTCATTCCCTACTCAACCCTTAAGTAGATTTTTGTTCATATTTCCCCTCACGGATTTGACATTTATATTCCTTTTTTACTATTTGATTTCCTTCATTTAGTAGTTCCACTTTTTCTCCAGGTCACAGATGAGACACCATTTCCCTCTCTTCATTTCTCCACCAAGGAGCCTCGTTGTGAGGTAAAATTTCTCCAACAATCCCCAGTTTTGAGTTTTTTCTTTAATTTGGAACTGGTTTTCCTTCGGTATTTCTTTTTCTTCAGCATTATTTCCTTTGTCAGAAGCTGCTGTCTGGTCTTTTCAATTATTCTTAGGCACCCAGAGCTGAGAATTGGAAAAGGGCAGCTCTGCATATTGAACTAAAGAAATAAAAACCTATAGAAATCTCCATTTTCCTGACAGGAAAATTTTCCCTCCCTCAGAAGGCGCCTCCACCTTTTTCTGACAGGCAACCAATGAGAAGTCTCTTTACTCTGCTACTCTGATGCCCATCATCCCTGCCCTCAGCCTCCCCTCAAGATGCGCTTCTCCTTCCCGCCCTTGCAGTGTCCCTGTCGCCTTGCGTAGAATCCTCCAGGGGGCGCACTCTGCCAAGAGAAGGGAACCCCGGGCGCTTCCCCATTGGTCGACTGGAGGGCGAACGTCACGGCTGGATTTGCAGAGGAGGCGTGGCATCGCAAACTCTTGCCGCTCTAGGACTCCGCACTCGCTCGTCTTAACCTTTGTGGCTCCGCAGAAGGCGGAGAGGCTGCGGGAGAATCCGGCGGGGGGAGATCCAGACGTGCCCCGGGTGAAAGGGGGGCTCTTTCCGTGCAAACGGAGGCGGAGGAGGGAGAGACCCGCTCCCGGCCCTCCTCCGGGTTCAGCCACTGATCCCATGCTTCCCCCTCTCCATGCAGGGGGAAGCGGGGCTCCAGAGGAGCAGAAGAACCGGGGATGCCAGGAAGGCGGAGGGGATCCGGGGGTGCTTTCCCGCCCCGTGTCCGGTGAAGAGCCCGAGTGGGGGGTGAGGAGGGTCGGCCTTGCGGAGGCCCAGCAGGAGAGGAGAGAAGCCGGGCGAGGCAAGATTGTGTGAACCTGCCTGCTGTCAGAGGGGAGATTCGGGTCTCCAAAGGCCACCCTGAAGAAGGGAATAGAATAGAATAGAATAGATTTTTTTATTGGCCAAGTGTGATTGGACACACAAGGAATTTGTCTTGGTGCATAGGCTCTCAGTGTACATAAAAGAAAGAGGGCATCTTCAACCAGGGTCATTTCCTGGCATTTCATTTAACGCGAACTGAGCTTTCATGGTTTGTTCGCCTGTTTTGCCCGTTTGGCAGGTGGTGTGAACCCTACTTGGAGGTAAATGTAGATCTAGGTTTTAAAAAGGAAGCCCTTTCTTGTAAGTAAAAATATAAAATATTTTAACAGAATATTAAACAGAATATTTTGTGACAGAACCCATCCTCTGAATGAAAAGACACCTCGATATCTAAAACATTCCTTGGAGTTAAGTCTATAGACAGTGACAGGATGGAGACGCAACTTTTAGCAAGTGAGACAAGTGAAAAAGGTCCTTCTGCTGTTCAGGATGGAAGCTGTGGGGAGACACAACTTTTAGCAAGTGAGACAACTGAAAAAGGTCCTTCTGCTCTTCAGGATGGAAGCTGTGGGGAGACACAACTTTTAGCAAGTGAGACAACTGAAAAAGGTCCTTCTGCTGTTCAGGATGGAAGCTGTGGGGAGACGCAACTTTTAGCAAGTGAGACAACTGAAAAAGGTCCTTCTGCTGTTCAGGATGGAAGCTGTGGGGAGATCTCGACAAACACTGGGCAGGAGATCCTGGAGGAGGAAACCACCATACATTCAGAAGTTCAGCCCTGCAACTTCAGGAGCGTCCAGGATGCTGAGGGTCCCCGAGGACTTTTTAGTCAACTCCATGAATTTTCTAGGCAATGGCTGAAAAGGGAAAATCACACCAAAGCCCAGATGCTGGACTTGGTTGTTCTGGAGCAGTTCTTAGCCCTTCTGCCCCCAGAGATGGAGAGCTGGGTGCGGGAGTGTGGAGCAGAGACAAGCTCCCAGGCAGTGGCCCTGGTGGAAGGCCTCCTCCTGAGCCAGGTGGAGGAGCAGAAGGAGCAGGTCGAGTTGCAGGTGAGACAATTCATCTAGGGAGTTCAGAAGAGAATCAGAAATGTGTTTGAATTCTTCACTCCTCCTTCCCAGACTTCTTTGGCATTCATAATATATGGAGATGTCAGACTAAATCCATTATGCGTTGTAGATTTGAGGCTTCCTCCTGAGCCCGGCAAAGGAGGAGAAGGAGCAGGTTGAGTTTCAGGTGAGGGAACTTTTTCTTGGAAGTTCAGAAGGGATTTGGAAGAATGTGTTTGAATTCTTCATCCCTCCTTTCCAGATTTCTCTGCCATTCATAATATGTGGAAATGTCACACCAATTCTTGTAGGACATTGTACCACTATTCATTGTGGATTTGAAACAAATCTTTCCTTTCTTACCCAGTTACTGATGGATGTTACTGACAATGTGTTCAGAGTACAAGAATGTAGTTGATATTGTATGATATCCATTAATTGTTCTTTTTTTAAAATCCTGCTTCATATTTTCAGTCCGTTGTGGAGATCAGGGATCTTGAGGAAAGGAGGAATCCCCCTCCAGAGCTGTTTTTCCAGAGGTTCACTCAGGAAGATCCAAGTCAGGACACCTCAGGAGGTAATCAAAGGTCCTCACATTCCCCAGAGAAATCTCAGCTATCTCATGTTCTCCATGTCTTCTCTTCCATAGAATACC